GCAATCCCCCAACTGCTGAAGAAAAGATAGATATTGATCCTGGCAGCACCTCCTGGCCAGGTTCAAAGCCAGAGTTCTCAGCTGACCAGGCTCAGGACAGTCTAGGGTCCCTGCCTGCTTTGATTTCCTCCCCAGACTCAGAAATTTTCAAGGACTCTTATCTCAACCGTAGTGTCCCACACTGCTTACAACTTCTGCCTCAAAAGTTCTTCCAGACCTTCTCATTTAAAAACAAACAAACACTTTTTCAAAAACAAATTTATTAAGGTATAAAATTCAGGATCTTGTACTTTAAAAACATTTGAGGGAATTCGCTGGCGGTCCAGTGTGTTAAGGACTCAGGACTTACACTGCCGTGGCCCCAGTTCAGTCCCTGGCTCCAGAAACTAAGATCCCACATGCTGTGTGGTGAGACCAACATTAAATAAATAAAGAAGTTTTGAGAGAGAATTCACATCCTGTACAACTGACCCATTTAAAGTGTACAATTTAGTGGTTTTTAGTATATTCATGGGTTGTGTGACTATCAACTGTGTTAATAATTCAGAGCATTCCCATCACCCCAAGAGGAGACCGTCTCCCCAGTATCATAACACCCCGCTTCTGTCTTCCTCCATGCCCTGGAACCTGCAAATGTACTTTCTGTGGATGTTTCATACCAGTGGAATCATACACCATGTGGTGTATGACTGCTCTCACCAAGCATCGTGTCCTTAAGGTCCATCCACGTGGCAGCAAGTGTCAGGGCTTCACCCGTTTATTTGGCGGGAGAACGTCACGGTGTGTGAATGAATCACATTTTGTGTCCCCGTTTGCCAGCAGATGGGCATTTGCGTTGTTTCCGCTTTTGGCGGCTGTGAATAACACCCCTTTGAGCATTTGTGTACCAGTCTTGGCACAGACGTGCATTTTCTTTTCTCTTGGGCGGAAGTTTAGGGGGTGGAATTGCTGAGTCAAGTGCTTATTTAGGCTTACACTTTACTATTTTGAGGAACTGTCAGACCGTCTCCCAAAGTGACTGCTGCGCTCCAATATATGAGGGTTCCAATTTCTTCCCATCCTCGCCAGCACCTGTTTGATCTTTTATTTTTTTTTCAAATTTATTGGGCTGTTTTGGGCCTTAGTTGTGGCACTCAGGATCTTGAGTTTTAACATTCAGGATCTAGTTCCCTGACCAGGAATGGAACATGGACCCCATGCATTGGCAGCATAGAGTCTTAACCACTGGACCACCAGGGAAATCCCATATATGTCTTCTTCTAAAACAAATTTTTTTTTTTTGGCTGTGCTGGGTGTGTGTTGTTGCACGGACTTTTCCTGGTTGCAGCAAGTGGGACCTACTCTTTGTTTTGGTGCCCGGGCTTCTTTCTGCAGTGGCTTCTTTTGTTGCGGAGCACAGGCTCAGGTGCATGGGCTTAGTTGCCCCAAGGTATGTGGGAACCTTCCCAGACCAGGGATCGAACTGGTGTCCCCTGCTTTGGCAGGCAGGTTCTTAACNTGCGACCCCATCAGACGCCTCTGTCCATGGGATTTTCTCAGGCAAGAATACTGGAGTGGGTTGCCATTTCCTTCTCCAGGGGATCTTCCCGACCCAGGAATCGAACCCATATCTCCTGCATTGGCAGGTGGATTCTTTACCGCTGAGCCACCCTGGAAGCCCCTTGAGTCCTGTTACCCCTCAAAGCAAAGGGTCTTGACGTCACGCCCCCGCCCTGCCCCTTCTCAGCAGGTCGAGTCCCAGACGCTTGCCATGTTCCGTGACATCACGCAGCAGCTCCAGACCACCTGTGCCTCTCTGGGCTCCAGCCTCCAGGGTCTGCCTGCCCACATCAAGGACCAGGCACTACAGGCTCGCCAGCAGGTCGAGGACCTCCAAGCCACCTTCTCTGGCATCCACTCCTTCCAGGATCTGTCCAGCAGCGTCCTGACGCGGAGCCGCGAGCAGGTGGCCAGGGCCCGAGAGGCCCTGGACCACTTGGTGGAGTATGTGGCCCAGAACACACCCATCACGTGGCTGGTGGGCCCCTTCGCCCCCGGAATCGTCGAGAAGGCCCCAGAAAAGAAGAAATAGGAGAGGCTGGAGGAGGACTCAGAGGGCTCTGGCCTTCTCCGAGGGGCCGGCGAGTGACCAGGGACCCCTCACTGGGAACACACCTCAGGAAGCTGAGGTCCTCAAATCTGACCCGTCCCTCATCCTCTCCAAGCTTGGAGGAAGCGTGTCCTGAGCATCACATCCATCATCAGGACAAGATTTCCAGGAAAAGAAATTTTTTTTTTCTAGAAGGTTCCAATTTTTTTTTTTCTTCCTTGAAAACCAGGAATATAGTTCTTACGTCCCACACCCTTTTTCTACATTGAGTCCCCGGGTTATCAGCCTTAAGCTAGTGGACTTGGATCGCTGGGAGGTGGGCCTCTTAGGGGTGAGGTGGGGGCAGGGCAGCTGACACTCGGTCTGGAGCAGGAGGGGGCTCAGGCCTGCGCAGTGAGCCCTGGGTGCGGGAGGCTTCAGATTTGCCTTAATAAATTTTACCTGCAAAGTCCAGGCCTTGTATATTGTGTGTGTATGTGTGTGGATTTTTAAAAAATTTTTCAGCAGAGGAACAACTCTGGAGTCTCTGTATGGCCTTCTTGGGCTGTGGGGGTCTTTCATCTCCCTGCCACTGGCCTGCCAGAGTCTTGCCCCCTTTGTCACATCCCAGGCAGCCAGCGGAAGGGAGAAGCATACCTCTTTTCCTGTACTGGGCCTTTCCAGCTGTGTGGGGGAACCGTGTGACCCCCAAAAGATGCTGATGACCTCATTTCTCACATGGCAAAGGAGACTTTGCAGATGGGATTCAATTAACACATTACTGACCAGACATATTAATGTGTCTTTTTTCACCTGAACGTCATTGACTGGAGATGTTATCAGTACGTTTTTAGAGAATGATACCATTATTATCAGGCTTCCCTGGTGGTAAAGAATCCACCTGCCAATGCAGGGGACATGGGTTTGATCCCTAGGTCTGGAAGATCCCCTGGAGAACGGAATGGCAAGCCACTCCAGTGTTCTTGCCCGGAGAATCTCCTGGACAGAGGAGCCTGGCAGGCTACAGTCCCCGGGGCTGTAAAGAGTCAGATACGACTAAGCAACTCACACACACACACATAATATATATACATATAGATATTTATATATAAAAGACTCCAGACTTCTGACCTCTAGAACTGTCAGATGATAACGTGCGTGGTTTCCAGCCGCTGTGTTTGTGGCCATTTATTACAGCAGACTCAGGGAACTTGTCCAGGCTTTGAGGAATTCAAGGTTGCTAGTTTGGGGTTTCCAAAATTTCTGTGTCCATTTCTGGGACTGGCCGTGTTCCCACTGCTGTGCTAATGTTTGCTTACAGAGAAAACACAGCAACGAAATTCTCTACCCACTCTGGCCCAGGGCCATTCCGTATGCTTCACATACAAACCGTTTTGGTCTTGCGCTTCATTTCATTTCATTTATTTTTTCAGGCTGTGCCGTGTGGCATGCTGGATCTTAGTTCCCCTTCCAGGGCTTGAACTCAGGCACCCTGCATTGGGAGTGTGGCATCTTGACCACTGGACTGCCAAGGAAGTCTCTGGTATTGAGCTTTACACAATACCAGGTGGAGCACGCGGTAGGGAAGGGTCCACCTTCCGTCAACCATGTTGGTGATGGTAGGGCTTTGTGCTCATTCTATTTATGACATGCTCCTAAGGGCTCGGCATCCTGTGCTGGGCTGCCCATGCTGGACTCCAGCTTGGTGATGAGACATGGGTCCACTGGCCAGCTCCTTGGTCCCTGCTGTGTGACCCTGGGTGGGGTCTTTTGCCTCTCTAGCCCTCCGTTTCATTGATAACCGGTTCAGTGCAGTTCTGTGCAAAGATTCTGTGGAGTGGTGTACTTAAAGATCCTAAGGTCAGGACCTCCCTGGTGGTCCAGTGTTTCAGACCTTCATCTTGCAACCCTGGAGGTGCAGGTTTGATCCCTGGTTGAGGAGCTAAGATCCCACGTGCCTTGTGGCCAAAAAAAGCCGAAGCAGAAAACAGAAGCATTGTTGTAACAAATTCAATAAAGACTTATTTGATTCACATCAGGGGCTTCCCTGGTGGCTCAGTGGTAAAGAATCTGCCTGCCAATGCAGGAGCCATGGGTTCGATCCCTGATCCAGGAAGATCCCACGTGCTGGGGAGCAGCTAAGTCCACGTGCCACAACTGCTGAGCCTGTGCTCCGGAGCCCTCGAGCTGCAACTACTGAAGCCCAGACACCCTAGAGCCCATGCTCTGCAACAATGAGGAGCTCGCGCGCCGCAACTACAGGTAGCCCCTGCTCGCCACAAAGAGAGAAAAGCCTGAGCAGCAAAGGAGACCCAGTGCAGCCAAAAATCAATAAATAAAATTACATTAGTAAAACAATATTTCATTGTGTATTTGAAAGTTGCTGAGAGTCGGTCTCATCACAAGAAAAGAAAAATGTTTATGTGAGGTGATAGATGTTGCCTAGACATATTGTGGTCTTTTCACAATATATTGTTAATATATTGTGTGTTAGCCACTCAGTCTTGTCCAACTCTTTGTGACCCCATGAACTGTAGCCC